ATTTGACTTTCTCTGCTTGACTTATTTCACTCAGCATAATCTCTTCCAGTCTGTCCAAGTTGATGCAAAAGTTGGGTGTTCATCCTTTCTGATGGCTGAGTAATATTCCACTGTGTGTATGGACTGTGTCTTCTTTATCCATTGTCTGTTGAAGGGCATCTTGGCGCTTTCCACATTTTGGCGATTGTGGACATTGCTGCTATGAACATTGGGGAAGCATACAATGCTTTAGAATCTAGGACAATAAGGGTAGAAACATGCTGAAAAAGATACAAATTAAGATGAAAAGGGAACAAAAGTGGTATTATTGTGTTATACGCTCAATCAAGATATGATCTGGGTTCTAGAAGGTGCCTTCTTCATTTAGTTTAGAAAACTGGGGTAAAGGTGAGATGGGGTGGTGGCCGTGATGAATAACAAAACAACAACAATAACGACCACACGGTGACAGACACACAGTATTAACTCACTCTGTACAGCAGCCCTAGCAGAAGCCGTCCATTATCATCCCCCTTTGAGAGATGAAAAAAAATGAAGTGCACACGGGGAGAGGCAAACACTTCACACGATGGAGAACATCCAGGTCCCCTTTAGAAATGTCACCCTACTCAATGATAAATGTCCTTTCTTGCAGATACTTCAGGTTTTGTTAGCCGAAACTGCTAGAGACTGCGGTTTTAGATTTTGAGAACTAACCCACAAGAAAGACTTGATGGTAAAGGAGAGGAAGCAGGAAGCCGAGGAGAAAGTGTGAGCTCCCAGAAGCCCAGAAGAGCTTCGCAAGCGAATCCTAGGCTTAGTCACACATTTACCACAAAACACCAGAAAAGCAGGCTCAAGAGGAGAACATGTGCGTGCATGCACGTGCAAGCACAAGAATGGGCTTGCGGTCAGCAGCGACGAACAGGAAGATACCTCGTGAGAAACAGGTGGTGTTAAAAAAATCAAACCAAAAAAAAAAAACACAAAAAAATCAAACAAAAGTGACACTAAGGTCATTAAAGTATCCCACAGCCCTTAAAAGAAAAAACACCGAAAGAAACCAAATAACCACACACTAGGTGAGACAGTGTGTTTATCTCCTACTATGGTGAGACAAAACCTCCATGAATGGACACAAAAGAGTGGCGGGGAACATTTCACCAAGGACAGATAAAGGCACAAGAGGAAAAAAAGAGCCATATCATAAACGTGGGGACTCACAGCAAAAGGAGGCTGGGACAAATGCTCAGAGCGGACGGCTTTCAGAGCAAGGTGGGGCCGCGGCTGACGGCGGAGTCTAGAAGGGCACCTGGCACACAGCAGATACTCGGTCCCCCAAAAAGGAAATACTGAAGACGTGAGAGAATGCAGGAGGATTAACAGGTAACAGGAAAATAAATTCTTATTTTACTTCACTTCTCTCCAAAGGAGAACACTATGACCCTTGAACCATTTGTAGGAGTTTCCAGCCACTCCGTGAGAATACAAATATCCAAGAACGGACCCGTTAACCTACCAAGAAACGGAAATAATTTGCAATTATAATAAGTAAAACAGAGTCACAAAAAAATAGGAAAAGTGCTTAAGGTCTAGAGATGGAAAATCTTAACCCAGTTTTCAAAAAAAAAAAAACCTATTTTGAAAAAGGAGATTGTGGGCAAGCAGACTCGAGAGACAAGCAAAATTCTAACATTAATCATCAGGCATCATGTGCTTTGAGAACCAGTCGAGAGCACAGCAGTGATCACTAACACATGCCAAACTTAGTATCCTCTTCTCTTTGTTAATACTGGAAGGCTGACACAGAAGAGGAAAGCCGTAAACACAGTAGTAGCCAACGGAAAGTCACAGATGGAAGGAGAGTGGATTCATAGAATAACCAATCAATGCCAAATGCCGTTTTTCCACTTTATGTAAACAGTGATGGTTTAGGCTCGTTCCTATTCAAAATATTTTTCCCCATGAAGACTTAGATGAAAACAAAGCTATAAAAGGCGAGCTAACGTATATGCAACGTAAAGCGGAAGACAAAACACAGATGACGAACTAAACACTGAGAACTTGGTAGGGAGTAAGAACTGGGCAAACTAATGAAAATTTTGGGAATTCAGATACAGGGCTGCCACTGATCTGACTGTCCATTTTTCCAGAGCCACAACAATCTCTACAACTGTATCTGAGAGCCCAGCCAGAGACTTTTACTTTCCAATTAGTCATTTAGTTCATTCACAACATGAGTATTTAAAACATCCCAAGATCCCATTCTAAACAGTTCCACATAAAACACTCTCATGGCAGGGGCGCCTGCATGGCTCAGTTGGTTAAGCATCTGCCTTAGGCTCAAGTCATGATCTTGGGGTCCTGGGATCCTTGGATCGAGCCCTGCATCAGGCTCCCTGCTCTATGGGGAGGCTGCTTCTTGCCCTCTCTCTTCCCTTCCCCCTGCCCCGTGCTCTCTCATTCTCTCTCTTAAATAAATAAAATCTAAAAAACAAACAAACAAACAAAAAAAAAACCTTTCATGGCCTAGACCTCAAAGTCACCTAGCTGACAAGTCTTGAGTTTGAGGTAGACAGGAAGTCTACCGAGTAAAAATGAGATACACAATTCAGATACAGACGATGCTGATCAAGTAAACTTCCTTATGTAACACTGTTAACTTACATTGATTCTTACTCGGCATGCCTACTGTCTAATAATAATTCTGTATTATGGATGACAATGAAGAAGTGCCTGAATTGGTACTGGAGAATTACAAATCGCCTTCCAGAACCACCTCACATCAATACGTCTCTGGACCTTGGTTTCCTTTCTTATAAAATGAGGGAGTTGAACCACATGGTCACCAGACTTAACATACTTCCAAATATAACGTACTCCCCACACTTTACAATAGTAAAAATGTCTAATCGGCAGTTCCTCCAACACTAAACATAGAATCGCCATTTGACACAGCAATTCCACTCCTGGGTATAAACCCAAAAGAATTGAAAGCAAGGACTCGGAAAGATACTTGTACCCCAACGTTCACTGCAGCATTATTCACAACAGACAAAGGTAGAAACCACCCAAGTGTCCTTCAACAGATGAATGGTTAAACAAAATGTGGTATATACATACCATGGAATATTATCCTTTGGCCATAAAAAGAAATAGAAGTCCTGAGACATGCCACGACATGGCTGAACCTTCAAGACATTATACAAGTGAAATAAGCCAGACCCAAAAGGAAAATATTGTATGATTGCACTTACACGAAATATCTACACTAGGCAAATTTACAGAACAGTCAGCAGAGCAGAAGTTACCAGGGGCTGGGGAAAAAAGGGAAATGGGAAGTTATTATTTAATTATAGTTTCTGCTTGGGGTGATAAAGAGATGGTAGTGATGTTTGCATAAAATTGTGTATGTTCTTAAGGCCACTGAATTGTACACTTAAAATGGGTGAAATGGTATGTTTTATGTTTTAGATAGATGTTATCCTAAAGAAAAAAATATGGAGGGCGCCTGGGTGGATCAGTTGGTCGAGCGACTGCCTTCAGCTCAGCTCATGATCCTGGAGTCCTGGGATCAGGTCCCGCACTGGGCTCCCTGCTCAGCTGGGGGTCTGCTTCTCCCTCTGATCTTCTACCTCTCATACTTGCTCGCTCTCATTCTCCCTCTCTCTCAAATAAATAAATAAAATCTTTTTTAAAATATGGAATTATTCCTATAGATGAAGAAGCTTAGATACAGTCTATGTGATGCTAGGCGGGTCTCAACCTCTCCAATTGCTACTTTCTTCATCTAAAAAATAAGGATAATAAAATCCATGATCAATTCATGGGATCTGTAGTGGGACATCTGCCTAGAACCTATGATAAAAAAATAAATTCTATGTATGAGTCAAACTATTTGATCAACTTAAAATGCATCAAAGATAAGACAAGCAAGACAACCCATGAAAGACTCACACATGAGAGAGAAATGTTCCTCTTTCCTTCATTTTACCTCTCAGACTTTACTAATCCAGATTTAAGAGTTAGTAATCAGAAAACTTGCATGTTCATGCTAGATGAGAGTTTATTTTATACACTCAATGACACTATGTGTTCTAGGGGAACAATTTTCTCCTATTTCTCAGATATAGAAAAATAGAAAATAGAAATATAGACCATTTAGAGGCGCCTGGGGGGCTCAGTCGGTTAAGCGTCTGACTCTTGGTTTCAGCTCAGGTCATGATCTCAGGGTCCTGGGATGGATCCCTGTATTGGGCTCTGCACTCAGCAGGGAATCTACTTCCCCTTTCCCCTGGGCCCCTGTTCCCTGCTTGTGCAGGTACACTCTCTTTTTCTCTCTAAAATAAATAAATAAATCTTAAAAAAGAAAGAAAGAAAGAAAGAAAGACCATTTAGTTCAAGAATGTCCAGAGTGTGACAGGACAGAAAGGGCTACTTAAAAAAAGATCTTGGTAAAAGAACAAAAATAAATAAATCTTACAGATAAAAAGGGAGTACAAATAGAAAGCTATATAAAGTACCGCAAGGCCAAAGCCAGAAAGAAAATGAGCCTGGTAGATTGTAAATTGCATTAGAATGACACCATCACTCTGATTACAGGTGTGGTATCAAAAGAACAAATAGTGAGTATTACAAGCAGCAGTAAAAATGTTTGGGTCGGTGGAGGTTTTGAAGTGATCTTCACGAGTGGGAAAGCCGGTGGTAAAAAGCATTTTAAGGAACATCCTCTTGTGTGAAACTATACAACTTTTGCAGAACTTGTCTCACATGAGCCAACTTAAAAATACACAACAGCCAACATAAGGAAGCTTCTATTTCCTGCTAGCCTGCATTTTTTCTGCCTGAGGCTGAGAAAGCTGAAATGTTACGATGCAATGCCAGGTTTTCCCCTTTCCGAGTGCCCTTGTGGCTTCGGTGACAGCCCACAGCCTCCTTAACCTTCTGTGGAGGTTAGTGTGAAGATGACACATGGAAAGCCACAACTCAACATGGGGACAGAAAGAGGAGGGCATACGTACCTCGTTCAAATTTTAACCGCTGGTAGAGCTGAAACTGATCCACGGGCACCAGGGAGGCAATCTGAAATCAGAGATATTAACAAGATGAGGTCTCTCTCCTCACTGGAGCCCAGAGTTCCAGCCTTCAAAGACCTCTCCTTCTTGTCTGGCTTACTTTATACCAGTGGTTCGAGAACTTTTTCTCTCCACACTTCCGTGATAAGACAAGCAGCAATTTCTACGGCAGCCACTACTTGAAGCACCCAAGACAGGACTCCTTCGTCAAATTCCATTCTTACCCTCAGCAGCTACTAAGACCGACAACCAAACTTTTGGACTTCCCCAATTATTTGTGTGTGTGTGTGTGTATATATATATATATATATATATATATATATATATATATGAAAGATGTTCTTTATCACTCCATGTTCATTTAAGAAATGTTTAAAAGATTATGGTTCTAGCTTTAGAACCCTTAAAAACTAAGGCCAGGTAGATAGTGCCTCAGGAATTATGAAAACCATGTCATCGTCTCCTCGGGAATAGACTCTTCTAAACAATATGAAAATCATTTCTTCAGACAAAAAAAAAATAACTTCACAGGGCCCCTGGTTGTCCCTCATTGTCATCCATGTCCTGGTAGGAAAGAAATGCTAAAGATATTTCTTGTGATTGAACTCCTATTTCCATGGCAGATGGCGATATGAACCAAAGGTTTACAAGTAAATGACAGTGAGTCAGACCTAACCAAAGAACATTTCAGATTAATCCTTTCAAATTGCATTTCGAAGTCAGAGGCAGGAAAAGCTAACTGCTCTTACACTGGCATTCTAAAAATAGTAGCTCCATTGACACCAACTATATTGATGTTGCTTAAAAGATTTATAACTGAGAAGACTCAAGGATTTGATATTAGGCTTTCTAAACATATTTAGCAAGTTGATACAGGACACAGTCGTAGCCTTGGCAATTCTGACTCGAAAACACTACCTGTCCTTCGGTATGAAATATATCTAGACGGAAGTTCCTACAACCAAAGAAAGGAAGTCTGCCTTAAGAAAACAAGAGTAAAAAAAAAAAAAAATGAGGCAGTTAAAAATTACACTTAACATGTATAAGGCTGACGATTCACAGACCTGTACCCCTGGGGCAAATAATACATTATATGTTAATAAAAATAATTAAAAATTTAAAAATTACACTTAACAAATACAGTACATTTTAACAGGTATTCAAAATCAAATCCTCCTCCTCACACACACAAAAAATTCAATTTGTTTACTTGGCAAATGAATTAAACAAAGTTAGCTAAAACCTATGAAGGACTACAAAACAGGCAAGTTCAGTCTTCTCCATTTCAAGTACAGTAAAACATAAATTTAATTTAATTATAACATTTTTCTCCAGCTGGGAGGAAAAGGTTGCATTTTCATCTGGCACTTTAAATAAAGCTCCTGAGCAATCACTGTAAAAAAAAAATTATGGTTAATTTTATATGCTATGTGTTGTACCATACTTTTTTAAAGTGTGGTTAGACTTTAATTACACTGAAAGCCAGTTCTGTTTCATCTGTTATAATACCACCTGGACATCTTTCCTAAAAGACAAAGGTGTCTCAAAAAAAATTCTGAGTAGGAGACAGAAGACATAGGTAACCAAAGGGATGGGAGGCATTAAGGAATCTGAATTCAACTCCTGACTTAGTCATTGCTTCCTTGTGGCAGAGAACAAATAATCTAATACTACGTCAACTCTGAGGCCAAGGTGACTTGGAGATGATGTCCTCTGGGCTGAAGAGACCTCAGTGAGAGTCTGTATATCTATTTTAACGCCCCCCACCAGAGGCCTTTGATTCTATGGGACAGTCTTATACTCTACTTGCCCCCAACTAAAACAGCTTCTGGACTGATGAAGAACTTCTTCAAACCCCTCAAAGTCAACTCCTAAAAATTCTGATTTTTTTTTCAATGACATGCAATATATGTAGCAGCTAAGTCAAATACCATTGACGGAAGACAAAGCAAACAGGAGATAGAGTACTTTAGACACAGATGAAATGCTAATGAGAAAACTGAGACAAATTAATGCAGTAAAAAGTCAACAACAGGAGAGATGGATGTTTCTTTCTTTCTTTTTTTTTTTTTTAAAGATTGTATTTATTTATTTGACAGAGAGAGAGATCACGAGTAGGCAGAGAGGCAGGCAGAGAGTAAGGGAAGCAGGCTCCCTGCTGAGCAGAGAGCCCGATGCGGGGCTTGATCCCAGGACCCTGAGATCATGACCTGAGCCAAAGGCAGAGGCTTAACCCACTGAGCCACCCAGGTGCCCCCATTTTTTAAAAAGATTTTATTTATTTATTTATTTGACAGATAGAGATCACAAGTAGGCAGAGAGAGAGAATAGGAAGCAGGCTCCCCGCCAAGCAGAGAGCCCGATGCGGGGCTCGATCCCAGGACCCTGAGATCATGACCTGAGCCGAAGGCAGAGGCTTTAACCCACTGAGCCACCCAGGCACCCCGAGATGGATGTTTAATTTAAATTAGAAAGCTAAATTTCATAGAGGACACGTCTCTGCCAACAGGGAAGTCAGAGGGCTCTGATTTTTTTGGTCTCTTATTCTACTTTGAATCTCCTATTTATTATTTTTTTATAGATCAAAGATTTTTATGGAATTAAGACTTAATAGGGTAAATCAATTTTTTCTATTGAAATTTGTGATTTAAAAAAAAGGAAAAAAAACCACCTTAGTTCCATCACCACCATTCTCTTCTCTTCCCAGACCCCACCACTTGGATTTGCACCTTTTCGGTGTTCTATCTGACAATGCATTAAAGGTACAACAGTGTCTGGAACCCTGGGAAGACAGACGAGGAAAGGGGGCAGAGAAGCTGCTCTCAAGAAACTTAAAATACCCAGAAGGCAATAAAGACACGTTAGGGTTTTTTCTTTTAAATCTACTCCTTGGGAAAAAAAGAGAATCGACTCCTTGATCTTACCATTTGTTGGCTTTACGGATTAGACTAGTTCTCTGAAATGTTTCTATTATACCCATGGCTTCAGATCAGAGAAAGCTGGACCTTGTAAAAAAAAAAAAAAAAAAAAAAAAAAAAAAACGATCCAAAGTATTAAATTCCCAGTTTCACTGCCATGTGGAGCTAAGTCTCGATTGCTCAAGGTCTCTTACAATTATAAACCTGAAATAAACGTGTTAGGATGATTACTGAAGGATCGATTAGATCACAGGTTAAAGGGCTACTGCTTTCAAAAGCAAAACAAAACAAAACCTGAAACAATCAGACTTGCAAACTGATTGCAAAACTGAAACTCCAATGAAAGAGATTATGAAGAGGTGTCTTGTGATATATCACTGTCCTCTCCCTACCAACAAAGAAATTCCAAATCGTTCAAAATCATTCCAGAATGTTCCTTTTTAACTTTTTTATTTTGAACTAATCTTAGACTGACGAACTTGGGGAGAGTTCCAAAATCCCATTCTCCCCAACTTCTCCTAATGTTAACACCTTACATAACCATAGGTAAGAATTAAAGTAATGGAATTTACATTGATATAAAACAAACTATCTGTAAGCCTTATTCCATGTTCAAAAACTGTCCACTTTTGTCTTTTTTTTTTTTTTTTTTGTCCAGTCTAAGATCTAATTCAGGATCCCTCCCTGAATTTAGTTGCCAAGTCTCCTTAGCCTTCTCCATTCTGTGGCAGTTCCTCAGTTTGTCCTTGCCTTTCATGACCTTGACCTTTCATGACTTTGAAGAGTCCAGGCTAGTTATGTCCTACAGTGTTCTCTGATTTGGGTTCGTCTGATGCTTTCCCGTGATTAGGTTGAGCCTGTGCAGTTTTGGCCAGAATGTCACAGAAGTGATGTTGAGCCATTAAGGACGTACAGGAGGACACCCATCTCATTACAGGTAATGTTGACTTTTTAACGTGGTTATGGTGGTGTCCACCAGAGTGCTCCACCCTTTGTAAATCATCAAGTATCTTGTAATCTTCCACCCTTTGTAATCATCCTTTGTAATCATCAAGTATCTTGCTCTTGTAGGAACACATTTTGAGATTCTGCAAATATCCTGTTTCTCATCATACCTTTGCCCCATTAATTGTTGTATCTACTGATAATTCTTTCCTCTAATAGTCATTACTGTGATATTTGCTTAATGATTTTCTATTTCCATCATTCGTTCTGTATTTGTTAATTAGGATTCTATTGTAAGAAAGAACTGTCCCTAGGGTGCCTAGGTGGCTCAGTCAATTAAGCATCTGCCTTCAGCTCAGGGTATGAGCCCAGGGTCCTGGGATCAAGTCCTGCATGGGCCTTCCTGCTCAGTGGGGAGTCTACTTCTTCTTCAATCCTTCCCCCTGCTTGTGATCTCTATCTCTCACTCTCAAATAAATAAAATCTTAAAAAAAAAAAAAAAAAAAAAAAAGCCTGTCCCTTCTCCCCCATCTACTTATTATTCATTTATGTATTCAGGTCAGTATGGACTACGGATATTTACTGCATTCAGGGGGTTCTAATCCACTAATAACCAGATCCACATGCAAGCTATAAAAACAAAAATTTCCAAGTATCTTCTCAACTATCAAGAGACCACTTCCACCAGATCTAAAAAATTCTTATCTTGATTTAAAGTGATTTTTATTGCTATTTCTCCTTTGAAATTTATATTAACCTGCCTGTTACACAAAAATTTCTCTCTCCTTCAATCCAAGTGCGAAAGACCACTTTTTCTCATCCTCATCATTCTAGTAATTCTTTCCACAAAGAAAGAAAATTTAATTCAAAGAGAGGATAAACTCAGTATAATTTTAACAGAATAAGAGCAGTAATACAGAACAGTAAAAACAAAAAGCTACCAATCGCCCATGATCTCATTCTGGGTCACATCCACCTGAGGGTGCTTACTCAACTATCTGACTGCAAGCCGTCCGTTCTCCATTCCACTCTAACCATAGCACAGGACAACCAGGGCACTCACAATATACATACGCATGGGGAGCTGTAACTGTTACACATGGTGGTTAATTAGATACATCTAACATTCACAACTGACAAGAAA